TTTTTTGAAAATAATATTATTTTTTGTTTTTATATCTTAAAAAAAATATATTCGTAATTGAGTATTATAGAAAAAGAAAAATAAATTCACTCTAATATTATATATAGGAACTGACAAAAAAGTTAATCTTTTTTTTTTACTATTATAATATATCACAATTTTATTCTAAAATATATAATATATTAATTTTGTAATAAATAAAATTCAACCCGTAATGTAGTATGGGTGATGATCTAGTTTTAAATGCAAATGAAGATAACAACTGACGCATACAATACTAACAATGTCATTAACCAAAATGTTACATTAAATCAATAAAAAAACAAAATCAAAGCATAGGGAAGATTTTCTTTAACTAGGTTTTATAAAAACTCTTAATCTCAATTTCTAATGGTCATATTTTATAACATAAATGTGTAATTGTATATTAAAAAATGATATTGCAAATTAGTTGCAAAGAAGATTCATTTGCCAAAATGCTACGTTTTGATAGAGTGGAATTGTATTTGCTTTTTTGAAAGTATTTTGCAAACATTTATAATTGTCCTTTAGAAGTCGTAAATTTGTGGCATTCTTTTGATACCGATTTGTGTAACCTATCTTGTACATCTTACAAGGTCGTATATTAGTTTTTGTAATGTTGTTATTTTTATTTTATTTTTTTGGGTTTTGTGCAAAAAAACCCTCGAAGTAGCCAATTTTTGCAAGAAAACCCTCAATCTCAAATAAATGCAAGTCAATACCACCATCTCAAAAGTCACCCGCAATATAGCCCTCGCGTGTATCGATGACGTGGCAGCCGTTAACTCTGTTCCAAAACGTCACGACGAGTGAACTTTTGTGCAAAAAAACCCTCAAAGTAGTCAAGTTTTGCAAGAAAACCCTCAAAATAGCCAAATTTTGTGCAAAAAAAACCCTCAAAGTAGCCAAGGTTTGTTTTGAAAAAGCGATTGTTGGAGAATTCGATTGTACAGGGAAGCAAAGGAAACAATATGGTAATAATCGATTTTGATATCTTCATAAATTTCTGATCATTAGCATGATCAAAGTAAGACATGGTGGAGCCATTTATAGGAGAAGGAAAAATCTAGGGTTTAACAAAAGAATTCTGTAAAATTTACATAAGTTTTCTGTAAAACCAGAAAATCTTCTGTAAAAGCCCAAATTCGTCGCAAAAGAGACAAAATATTTTGTAAGGCTCAGAGCCTCGAAAAACGTGCAAGCCACGAAATCAACTTCTGTAAGACTCAGAGCTTCGAAAAACGTGCAAGCCACGAAATCAACTTCTGTAAGACTCAGAGCCTCGAAAAACGTGCCCGGCACGGAATCACCTTCTGTAAGGCTCAGAGCCTCGAAAATATATATTACTTCTCTAAAAATCATCTATTTTTTTATTGGCTCAAATCAATTCAAAGTGTTTTTACTTTTATATATCTTTTAGATTTAAACTGTTTATTGATCCTTATGGTATTTCTCAAATCACATTGCTCCAAAATGTTATTTTCTAAGAACAAGAGGATACATTTAATTTCATTTATATATTGATAATTTTATATTTATTTTATAATTAATGGTTAAAAGTTAATCCAAAAAGCTTAATTACAATATGAAGATTTTTACGTTTTCTTATATATCGTAAGAAACTGTATGCAATTAATAATATAAAACTTAAGAGTTCCGGTAATCGATTTAATTGTTCGGTTTGTTTTGGAAGTTTGGTAGCAGTTCAGAATTTTTCGGTTTTGAAGAAATTTTCCTAAATTGAAGTGAAATTGGAGTCCGATTCGATTCGGTTTGAACATACAGAGTTGATTCGTTTGGGGTAAAAACAAAATTCTGGAATGTACCCAAAAAATCTATTTTAAAAGAAATATCTTAAGGTTTTATAATTGCATCAACCAAAGAATTAGGCCAACAATAAATATAAGCGCATAAAGAGAAGTACAAAAAAAATTCAAACCAACATTTAGGTTTAAGTCGTTTAACATATATGAAGACGGTAGAAACGAGCTATCCGACAAAGGGATTATTGATTTTGTGTGAAAGAAGAAAAAATAGAAACAAACGGATATATGATTTTGTGTGAGATAAAAGAAGAGGAAACAAATTAGATCTATGTTTTTTTTTCTTTATATGCACAACTTCAAACCAATCGGTCTGAATTCGGGTTTTGGTTTTTAATCAAACCAAAATCTGAATTTTTTTTATACTTATATCAGACGGTTTTTATCGATATTTCTGCTAAAACCTAGCAAAAACTAAAAAAAAAAAAATTAATTTATGATCTCTTATGCTAAGTCAATTATTTTACACTAATAATCTGCACAAATATCATGTCGTGTGCATACTACTAATTTTTCACATTGATATCTATGTTTAACATGGTAATAGAAAATCATGGAAAACAGTAAATAATAAATTTTTCTTATAAATGTTTTTTTAAAATTTTACAAGAAAATTACGATGTCTTATTGAAGAATACTATAAGTGCAACGACACTTAAATTTTGCACAACTACCAAGATTTTTACCCCTTCTAAAACAAGATTTTTGGCAGTCATAACAAAAACCCATTATGCCTTGACGAATAGAGTGTTCAAGATGTATATCCACTGTGAGTTGATCAGTTGAAGGACTGCCTTCAGGATTATCAAGGTATGTTCTCTCTTCTGAATGAGATTTTTTGATAATTATTGATGTACCTACAAAATTTCCAAAACATATTTCAAATTATTAAAAAACTATTATATATCTTACATAAGATCTTAATTTCATAAATTTAGACTTACATGAGGAGAAAAGGATTAGAAGAGTTAAAAACAAAATAAGTGTCTTCATTCTTAATCTAAAATATAATTATATTGGCGAGAAAATATATAGAATACTATTCTTTCTGCTAATCCTTTTAAGTTTTGTTTTTTTTTACAATAGTTATTAAAAGTAAACAGTGTCATATTTATATGTTTTTATAAAAAAAAAATGTTACGAAAGACTTATGTTGTTTTATAAACGTTTTATTTTGTTATAAATGGAAGTTAAGTTAGCCATAATGCTTTAAACATATTAAGTAAAAAAATGGGCTTTGAATAAATAGGTCATTGAAAGAAAATAAAAAAAAATGTTTCAGTCTATAGGTTCCACACAAAATGGGTTAAAGAAACTTCTTTTTAATGGGTTCAAAAGAATAAGTTAAACTTAAAATCAATAAACTTCTTATACTACAACTTTTCTTGTAAATTAAAGATGTCCGTTGAGCTGATCCCACATCCTCGTATATGAGTCAATTTGCTTGTTACTACCACTGATGTCACAATCATCATTGCAACTACTTTAATCACCAGAGTCAACATTACTAATAAGATTATAGAAGTGGCTAGTGGCTACAGAATTGATATTGGTTTATAAGGAAATAAAATTGTTAATAATAATAACAAGATTTAAATACGGGACGATGAAAGGTTTACCTTTTGTCCCATACTTTCTTGCGGTAGATAAAATTGTAGAACTATTCAATTACAATACGGTCTAGTTTTTGTTTACCATGGTTTTGTACATACTTAGACTATATAAACTTCCACAAATGAGTCGTTCCAAATGTTATTTTCTTCATGTTGTTTCTTTTATTTGTTTGATAATTTAAGTTTTTTTGTAGCAAATACTAAAATAGTTAAAGGTTTTAATCAGTAAAATAACAAACCAAGAAGTAAAATTAACTATTCTAATATTATTTATCGCTATTAAACCAGTAGATTTTGTACCGGAGCGATACATGTTTATCTAAATCTGGGTGTTTGGATACCCATTTAGGGTCGGTTCGGTTTCATTTGGTTTTGGTTCTTTTGGTTATATAGAGTTTATGATCCCTTCAGATATTTTAGAGTTTCGGTTCGGTTTCGGTTAGTTTTCGGTTTTTTTGGTTTTAAATTTTAGTATACATTCAGGTATTTTGTTTCGGATGTTTCCGAATACTTCAGTTATTTTCGACTATTTTCGAAGATATTTTTCGGTTATTTTATATATTTTCAGATATTTTTGATTATTCGGTCAATAAATAATTAGTATTTTACTATTTTTAGATATATAACTATGGGGCTGATTGGTTAAGACTTTTAAGACTTTAGAAAATTTTAACAATTCTCAAAGTTTGTTTTTCTCCTATCAAAGTTTTTTTTACTTTAACTAACCTTAGAACTTTTAAAGTTTTTTTTTTCTACTCTTGTTTTCCACTCTTTTTTAAAGGCCCGTAATCCCCACTTTAAGAAAATATAAGTTTATAGTGGCTGCGGCACGTCAAGGCACTTCTTCGACGGTCTCCGTCTCGCCCGTAGCACTGACCTCTTTTTTTATTGATTCAATATAATAGGGGAAAAGATCGTACGTACTTTTGTCACGAGCTGGCTTAACCCATTCCCTTACCACCAAGCCTGGATAAGCAAGTAGTTAACCCGCGATTGACCTTTATCTTGTCTACCTCTGTCTCGCATGAGAAATCGAACGTGACCTCTTCTCCTCGTTTTCATTGGGAGGGAAGATATAGATACAAAGGTAAGCACGAACTCTTCCCCATATGTATAAAAACTCTCATAAAATTTACTAAATTATTATTTTCAAAACAAATTCAGTTGATTTATAATGGAATTCTGTTTCTTGATTTTTTAAAATCCATTTCTTCATATTTTTTTAGTTATTTAAAATTGTAATTTCTACCGTCACATGTTTTACTAATCGGTTATAAAAATTTTACAGTCAGAGTCCTTAAAACAAAAATTTCTACATCTAAAGTCTTTACATCAAAAAGTAATAGTCGCTACCAATCGGCTCTTATATTTCAGATATTTTCGAGTACTTTAAATATTTCAGCTCGGTATTAATTCTGTTTCGGTTCGTTTTTTTTTTTCTTCGGCTTCGGTCCATTCGGTTCGGTTAATTTATCAAAGCCTAGGTTTACCAATCAAACCTGAAGAATCCCCACCGTAATCTGCATCCCTCGCTACGACACACAACAACTGTTTAATTTCCCAATTTGTCGCCGACTCTCTCTCCGACCTAAAATCACCGGTGATTCTCCCCGGAATCTTTCTTTAGGTCACCGTCAAGCATCTCTCCTTCACAGAAGAAACTCACTGTTCCTCAGAAGAATATGGTTTTGGAATAAACGATGATAAAACGATCCAGTAACTGCGCTATTTGCGAGAATACTAATCGTGCTTGTATCTGTAGTGCTTGCGTTAATCATAGGTTACAAAAATCTCATGAAAAATCGCTCTCTTTTCGATTACGGGTTATATCGATTTTTCGAAATTCTCATAGGTTTGTTTTCTACAGATTGATTGAGTATAACACTTTGTTGAAGTCACTCAAGACTCGAAGAGATTCTTTATTATCAAGATTGAGTCACCTATTGGAATCTAAGGGTAAAGCTGATGATCAGAGGAATTGGAGATTGATTCAAAACGAGAAGCTTTTGAAGTTGAAGAAGAAACTTAAGAGTAATAAGGAATTGGTTACTCAAGGGAAGGTTAAGATTGATAGAGAAACTTGTGGTCTTAAAGTTAAATATGGAGTTCTTGATTCAGCTCGTTCCACGGTACGTAAAAATCGATGCTTTATGAGGAATAAGTGTGAAAGATTCAAGTTTTGTTACAGTTTGTTGATGGCTCTGTTTTTCAGCTTGAGAAAATTAGAGTTGAACAAGTGGAGAAGTATTTTCCTAATCTAATATGTACTCAGAGCCTTGGTCATGTAAGGAACTATAGCTTTGGATTGGTTTTGTATGTTATGAAATCTGTAATGTGTATTGTAAGAAGTTGAGTTTTGTTAATTGCAGATGGCGATTTCATCTGAGCGTCTTCATAAGCAGTCGGTGGTTGTGAAACAGATATGCAAATTGTTTCCTTTACGCCGAGTATGTATTTTAGTTTGATAAATGGTTTCTGTTTGTCTTCTTGGACTAGTGTTTTACACTAGTTTTTCTGTATTGTATTCAGGTTAGTTTTGACGGAGAGAGTCAGAACGGTTCAGTTCGTCAATATGATGTAATTTGCAATTCACGTCTCCCGAGTGGTTTGGACCCTCATTCCATCCCATCAGAAGAGCTTGCTGTCTCTTTGGGGTAATGTTTTATTCTCTATTTTTTAAGGCTATGCATTTGGGTTTCAGTCCGTGGTATATATCCGGTTTTGTAAGACAAAATTTTGACATGTGGAGTAGGTATATGGTCCAACTTCTGAACCTTGTTGTTCAAAACGTAGCCGCTCCTGCACTACATAGCTCAGGTTTTGCGGTATGATTGTTTTATCTTGAATACGTTTGCATTTCAAGTGGAACACAAAAGTAGTAATCTCTCAAAAAAGATTTAAAGTTCACTGTCTTTTCTTGTAAACTCGTTCATGTCTGTTGGTTTTGCACAACACAGGGCTCTTGCTCCCGTATTTGGCAACGAGATTCCTATTGGGACACACGTACCTCTACTCGAAGGTACACTATTTTTTTCCCTTTTTGGAAACCTCTTTCTACATACCTGTGCTTTGAAAGAGGATAAAATAAATGAAACTAAACAAGGCATGGTTCTGTTGCAGCAATGAGTATCCTCTCTTCATACCCCGCCGAAATTATTGTTCAACCAGCGTTGAAAACTCATGGACAGATAAAAACTCCAGCAATTTTGGTGTTGCTTCCATGGAATCCGATAGAAAAGAACCGCGTCTGGACTCTACTGGACGCAACAGCTTTAAGTACTCCTCTGCTTCTCCTCATTCAATTGAATCACACAGAGATCTACAGAAAGGGATAGCTCTTCTCAAGAAAAGTGTTGCATGCTTAACAGCGTATTGTTACAATTCACTTTCCCTCGAACTACCTCCCGAGGCCTCGACTTTTGAAGCATTTGCCAAGTTATTGGCCACACTTTCTTCATCGAAGGAGGTCCGGTCTGTTTTCTCCCTGAAAATGGCTTCCTCAAGGTAAACCAATCTCTGTTCAACTAAACGTGATGTCACTTTTTTCCGACTTTTGTGTTTGGTATTTTGTATAACTGTACAGATTCCTGATAAGTTTATGTGTACTTCTGTGTTCTGATGATGCAGATCATGCAAGGCTCAACAACTCAACAAATCCATATGGAACGCTCACTCAGTCATCTCAAGCTCTTTACTTGAAAGTGCACATCTTCCGGTACATGCTAATTCCTCTTTTTCCCGTTAATTTTTCTGAAGGAGCCATATTAGTCGCTTAAGAACCCATCAAAGGATTCGAAAATTCATATAGCTTCCAGATATGCCGCAACACATTAGATCTTTCGTCCAAATCCTTTTAAGGTGGCCACATTTTGTAGATGTTGGTGGTTCATTTGGCGTTTACTTGGATGAATTGGGCATTAAATCCGCATAGATTGATGTTTCATTTTTCATAACCAGTTCATATGTTTTGTTATTGCACGGTTTCTTTCTAACGACACCTCTTCAATCTTTTCGAGCAGAGGAACACAAGTTATAACCAGGATCCAAACTCAGCAGCCAGTTATCTGTCTGCAACCGAATCATCAACCCGAAAGAACAACGATATGAACGGATGGGATTTGGTGGAGCATCCTAAGTACCCGCCACCACCTTCACAGTCCGAGGATGTTGAACACTGGACTCGCGCTATGTTTATCGATGCCAAGAAGAAATGAAAGGTTGATTCTTGCTTGTTGAGTGAAGCGAACACTTTGGTATATATCTCTTACAATGTACAGAAACACAGAACATCGGTTAGATTCTCTATTAGTCTATTTGTCTTGCGTTTAAGAACCGAACAAGACCAAACTAAGACGAATCTTAGTTTTATGGTGTTAGTTTCACACTTTCACTATTTAAATTATGACTTGAGGTTTTAATATTTTACAATTTTAAGTAAATACCATTGATATTTATTTCCCATCTGATTTAGGAGTTAGAAAAATTGCAACGTTTTTTTGTCACGGTCCAATTTGCCCAATGGTATTTACTCTTTAGAGTTCAATGGGCCTATACAAAGCCTATCCACCAACATTTTACTTTTTAGATGAAAAGCTAATTTATTAGAATTTCTTATAGAAAAGCAAATTTCAGCATCTTTAATCTCTCATTTTTTTTAATTTACATATATAATACAAAAAAATTAATTAGTAAAATTAACAAGTTTATAAATCAAAATGGTAATATAGTAACTTAAACAGTAAATTGATATTAATATTTGACATTTAGTAAATAAACATAAAACTTAAATAATTTTACACATATGATTAATTAAAGCAATGTACTGAAACTTTTGACTTCTACAAAATAAAAAATTGGAAGCTTTTTCTTTTTCTTTTAGTATTAATTTATTTCCAAAAGTATTTAAATCTCATTTTAATTAACATCTAATTCAATTAATAAATTTCTTAAAATCAAATGAATCATAACTATAAATTATAGGAAACTTTAATTTTTGTTCTTTTAGTATTAATTTATTTCCAAAAATATTTAAATCTCATTTTAATTAACATCTAATTCAATTAATAAACTTCTTAAAATCAAATGAACCATAACTATAAATTATAGGAAACTTTATTATTATAATAATATAACATATATGAGTGAGAACTTGCTGAAAAATATTGAAAAGAAACCCCAAAATATTTGAGTTATTACAAATCCGACCCAACCCATGAGATTCCCGCTTCTCCCGCTCCTTTGCTTCGCTCTTGCCTCTGTCTGAAAATCGCTCTCTCCTTCTTCTTCATGATCTTCTTCTTCTGATTCGATTTCCATCTTAAATCTTAATTATACACAAAAAGGATTTGGATCGTCACCTGAGATTTTCATTAGTCCTGCAACATTTTTATCGAATTCTGTGAATCCATTTCTCTCCCGATCTGTAAGTTTCTCAATACATTCATCTTTTTTTTTTGTTGATTCTTAAAGTTATGTTGAATTTTTAAGAAATCAGTCTCTGGGAAAAATATATTTCGAGTTTCGAGAAATTGCAGCTACAAATTAATGTTTTGGATGTGACAATTAATCTTTTGTTTTGCCTCTTGTTTGATTATGTGGAATCTCTGCTATAGCGTCGTCGTCGATGGATATGGCGAGTTCACCTAAACACAATGTGGAGGAGATGAAATCTGCTGAGATCATCGCTAAGGAAGTTTCTCCTAAACCTAATGTCAAAGAGATTGAGGAGAAGAAAGAAGAAGAGATGAAATCTGTTGATATCGAAGAGTTTTCTCGTAAACCGGTTGTCGAAATCGAGGAGATGATGGAGGATAATGAGGAGGAGGAGATGGAGTCTATAGATATTCATGAAGAGGAAGGAGATAAGATTGTTACTATGGATGAGATAATGTCTGTATATAGTGATGATGATGATAGTGAGAGTTCCGCTGAATCAAACGATGAAATAACGAAAGCGGGTGAAGAAACGGTTGATGATCGAAGCGGAATCTCTCACCACTCGTCGTCAGATACTACTTCATCAACTTCTTCTGCTTGGACAGAGAAAGCAGCTGCTATCAAGAACTTCGTTAGAGTGAAGAGCGAAGTTGCGGTACATACATTGATTCGTCGACTTTCCGGGAAACTAAGTGTTGACAATGCAGCTCATGGTACTAGAGATGATGAGGTGAAATCAGTAGACTCTCCTAAAACAGAAGGAAAGTCTATGTGGAATCCTTTAAGCTATTTGAAGATGATGCAGAACGACGATGATTCGGTTGATAGAGAAGAAGAGGTAGCATTGGAGCCTGTAGTGATGAAAGGTAGGATTATATTGTATACAAGACTAGGGTGTGAGGAGTGCAGAGAATGTAGGTTGTTTTTGCATGAAAAAAGGTTAAGATATGTCGAAATTAACATCGATATTTACCCGTCAAGAAAACTGGAGTTGGTAAAGATTTGTGGAGGAGATGTTGTTCCTAGGGTATTCTTTAATGAAGTGTTAGTTGGGAGTTTTAAGGAGCTTAAGGTATTGGAGGAATCAGGAGAGCTTGAGGAGAAGATCAAACATTTGATAGAAGAAGCACCGCCTCGGGAAGCTCCCCTGCCACCTTTCTCAGGGGAAGATGATGCATCGAGTAAAGGTCCTGTAGATGAACTAGCTTTAATAGTGCTGAAGATGAAGCCTTGTGTAGTTAAGGATCGGTTTTATAAAATGAGAAGGTTTAAAAACTGTTTCTTAGGTTCAGAAGCTGTGGATTTCTTATCCGCAGATCAAAGTCTAGAAAGAGATGGGGTAAGTAATGTGATCATTGTGAGAATTTAAGAGTAGAGGATTTGACTGTTTTATAATCCAAACTTTGTTGTATAGGCGGTTGAAGTTGCTCGAAAGCTTGCTAGCCAGCTCTTCTTTCAACATGTCCTAGAGTGAGCTTTCTTCACCACACCGATGTTTTTTTAGGTGTTATACTTTCATTTGTGCTTCTTTTGTTTCTTATTTTCCATTTTTTACTCAACCAGGGAGAATCTGTTTGAGGATGGGAATCACTTGTATCGGTTTCTGGATGATGACCCAGTCGTGTCATCTCAATGTCATAACATCCCTAGAGGAATAATAGATTTGAAGCCAAGGCCGATTGTGGAAATTGCGTCAAGGCTCAGACTTGTGTATCGAGCAATTCTTGAAGCTTACACTTCGCCAGATGGAAAACATGTAGACTACAGAAGCATCCATGGGAGTGAAGAGTTTGCAAGGTATGTATAGTGACATTCTTTATCTATTGTTATGTCTTCTTACTGACCGGGTATCATTCGAGTCCCAAAGGTACTTGCGAATAATTCAAGAGCTCCATAGAGTAGAGCTTGAAGATATGCAAAGAGAGGAAAAGCTCGCGTTCTTCATAAACCTTTATAACATGATGGCTATACATTCAATACTAGTATGGGGTCATCCAGCAGGAACTTTTGATCGAACGAAAATGTTTATGGACTTCAAGTATGTGATTGGCGGCAACACCTACTCGCTTTCGGCTATACAAAATGGAATTCTAAGGGGTAACCAGCGACCGATGTTCAATCCTATGAAACCATTTGGTGCAAAGGACAAACGTTCCAAGGTAAAAACATTTGAGTGCTAGTCTGTTGAGTCAAGTCTCATGACTACTGCTGATTCATATGTCTCCTGTCTTTTTAGGTTGCTCTGCCTTATGCAGAGCCTTTGACTCATTTTGCTCTGGTTTGTGGAACTCGGTCTGGACCACCGCTTCGATGCTTCACGCCTGGAGAGATTGATAAAGAACTCATGGAGGCAGCTCGCGATTTCTTAAGATGTGGTGGACTCATAGTTGATCTCAATGATAAATTTGCATACATCAACCAAATCTTTAACTGGTAAAGCTCTCATTCAATTCAACATAGTTACATGATTCCGTCGCTTACTAAACCTTAGTCTATTGCACAGGTATGGGGTAGATTTTGGAAATAGCGAAGTGGAGGTACTGAAGCATGCATCAACCTTCTTGGAGCCGCAATTTTCAGAAGCTTTGCTGGATTGTCTAGTTGATACTCAGTTTAAACTTGTCTACCAAAAATATGACTGGAGGCTTAACAACTAAAAGACTTATATATCCGCAACTTCGGGGACTTATGCGGTTTGTTTGTTGTTTTTTTTTTTTTTTCTTTTGCTTTATCATCACAACAACATAGATTCTATGACTTGGTTCAAATGATGCTGAAAGAAAACTTTACTATGGCTAGAGTAAATCAGCATTCAAACTAAACTTTGTTGCCGGGATCGGAATACGAACATATAGTCTTGTTTTGTTCCCATAGATTCTTCTTTCTTTGTTTGAGAAGGTCTTTTGAAACATGAAAATGTTTTATTTCATTGCGTAAGGAACTGAGTCGACGACAATATAAGACCGATGAGCTTATCCGTTCTGAAACCAGAATCTTGTCTCGTAAGATTAATTTGTCCTCATTTTTCTTTAGTAAGCGTCTTATGGAACTCTCTAAAGAACAACATATCAGTTACAGTTTCCGAAGAGAAACCTACACAACAAATAGTATCCACCATCCAAGCTACTTTGTAAATAGCTTATTACCACAACAGTTTGAGTCAAAAGTGATTGATTTTCGATAAGAAAACTCCTTTTCGCCTTAATTGAAGACGTGCTATTATCTACTATCACAAATGTTTCCATTTTATCATGTTTTTTTTTTTTGAACAATCACCAATGACTCTACAACACGAAAAAGGGTGTCCATTTGGTGAACAATTACTTACCTTCTTGTTCTCAGAACATACTTCTTTTCGATCTCGGTGGTTTATTTCTTGCAACCTCTTAGTGTACACACACATGTGAGGAGTGGTTAGTGAGTTGTTTTCACTCTGTTTAAGCTTATTCAATTGTATTTGTATATACGTATAAGCATTGTAAGGGATTCTAGTTGTAGTTAATGAGAACTGTTCAATCGATTAAACACTAATATGGTATTAACGCATTGAAATTATTTTTACTTTTCTCTAGAGTTACTCATTTTCTCTTCGGCCAGGAGATTTTAGAAGGTTTTTAAATTATAGATTTTAGTTTTTGGTTTTTGGATTTTGTAAAACTAAAATAAATAAACAAATGGAAAATTGAGAAAAAAAGATCTCATAGAGAAAATTCTCAACAACCCATTGAAATGAGATTTTGGATTTTGTTAAGAAATTAGTAAAAACTCTTAGAATCTAGATTCCTTATTTTTTTAGGAAATCCACTTTTTCTTCAAAATCTTGAAAGGTTAAAAAATAGATTTTTGGAAAAACTAAAACTAAAAACCATTTGAAAAATCATAACAATTCAAGACCTCATTTCGGCCTTGTTTTTTTCGGACTTCTTCCGAGAAAACTCTGTTTAACCAACGAGAAACTCCATCGATTTTATTTCATGTTATAGTGTTCATCTCTCTCTTCACCATTTGATCTCAAAATTCTTTCAATAGTAAAAAAAAGGGAACCAAGCTATAGAATTAGTTAACGGATATTTGACTAACAAAGTTTCGTATTAGTTTTGTAAAAATGTGTAGAATAAGCTTAACATAGATAAACTTTGTACTATTATTGCCGGGAAACTAGTATGCTTTATTCTTAGGAAGAGTTGATTTGGACATATCGTCATGCATGACATATGCAAATGGACTAAAAGATTTAATTTGGACATATCGTCAGGCATGACATAAGCAAATGTCAAATTGACTCGAGTATTTTCAGTTAACTTATGTATTTTCTTACTAATACCGCTCTTAATTATTATCCAATATATAGTTTTCCTAATTAAGTTGACATGGAACATGGTAGGTATCGAACACAAAATTGACGGTCCAGTCCTATTTAAGTTGACATTTCAGTACTAGTGTGTGTCAACGATTGGGATTTGCTTTGGTCGCTTTTGTATGGTAGAGAATCAATCCCTTGGTTTCCAAGCAAATATACTTTACTTTTCCAAATTTCTACGTTTTCTATGATATTTCCTCGAATTAAAGAAACCCAAATAAGGAAACAAACAAAGAAAGAAAGAAAAATCAAAATTGACCGCCCAAGGGAAAATTCCATGTAATTACCCTTCTACAACCTTATAAATACATCCCCAAACCCTCTTTTCTTCTTAAAACCTCATTAAGTTTCAGACCAATCTTGATTTTTATTTCTTCGGGTTGATTCTTTGATAGTTATTTTTGGAAGATGTACGGTGTTGGTGGATCGAGCACAACGGGTTTCGCAGAGGCTTACGCGATGAGGAAGATTTATAAGGAAAAGATGAAGATGAAGCTTGCAGAGGTAAAAGTAGAGGAAGAGAAGAAAAATGTTGAAGAGAAGAGTAAAATATCGAAAACGAAGAAATCGAAGAAGACCCTCCAGATTAATCCGAGGGTTTCCTCTGCAGATATTTAAACATCTATGTAGTTATGTATTTATTTATTTTAAACTTTTTTATGATGAGTTCATTTTGTTTTTTCTGTAATATATTTTTCCAAGTTAAATAACAAAAAAAACATGATGGTTGTTGTAAATTTTATGCTTAGTTTTGTGCAATGATCCGAGAAAATTTGAAAGTCTATCTTATACTTATTTATACACTTTTTCTGTTAAATAAAGTTAGGTGTTTTAGAGTTTACACACATCTCTGAAGCAAGTCTTGTGGTAGGATTCTCCTTCCATTGTCATCTTCTCTAGAGGATAAGCTGTTTTCTTATAAGCTGCACATTTGTCTTGTGTTCTGCTAAAGAACGAAGATAACCTGTTTGGAGCCCTTGTCTTTGCATATGATCCCACTAAGAATTCAAGAAATTAGATTAGAAAACATTGAAGAATGACAAAAAGAAAAAACATAGGAATGTTGAAGAATTATGTGCATACTGTTTCATTTGATTTCTCGGTCTTTCCTGCTGTAAAAGATCAAAAATGATGGAATTGTTGCTGCGAGTTTTATGGTAGGTATTGAAATGTCAAAAATGAAGTTCGTTTAAATGAAAAATAGTAGTCCGACCACTATAAGAGAAACACTGGTACACGCCGGTTAATTAACGTCATACTCAAAACCGACTCAAAAAACTTTGAAAGCAAAGAATTTGCATTGGTTTACAATGGCTGGGTAGAAAAAGATAGTTCTTGACTTTTGTGTCACATAAAAACAGTCTCTAAATTTACTTAAACCGTGTCAAATACTAGTCGTAGAAATAAAGGGCTTTTGTTAAAGTGATGTTAAAGTATTTAACGTCACATGTTCTTACGACGGTTTTAAAACTGATGCTATATGGTTTAAGTCGGTTTAATATCGACGTCAAGGTCAATAATAATTACAAACGTTATCTGCCGCATTTTTTTTTGTAGTGGAGGTAACTAAGTTGGATAGTTTGAAACTTTGACTTATAGTCAAATTATCTACTTGCAAGTTAGAAGAGAAACCAAAGTCACATGACTGGATTTGGGATTTGAGTTTTGGGAATATATATGATTCACTGGTTCTTATCTATACTATATAAAAGTCGAGGCTATAAGCTTTTGAGGCCGTCCACCTAAGATTTTAAACTACCAATCGCGAGTAGCCACCTCATCGGTTAACATTTTTATATACCATATAATTAACATTTTTAAATTCTAAATTTTCTATATTTAAATATTAATAAAAAGAAAAAGAAAAAACAATATGTATGGAAAAAAGAAAAATGTAAATTTTTGACATAACAAAATATAGAAATAAGAAAATGTAAAGTATAGATTTCAATCGCGAGTAGCCACCTCATCGGTTAACATTTTTATATACCATATAATTAACATTTTCAAATTCTAAAATTTTCTATACTTAAATATTAATTAAAGGAAAGGAATAACAATATATGAAAAGAAGAAAAATGTGAATTTTTGAAATAACAAAATATAGAAATAAGAAAAATGTAAAGTATAGATTTCAATATTATTATGCAGCAAATATATTTTTATTTAGAAATTTTCTAATTAAAAAATGTAAAATTACAGAAGGTAATTATGACGGTTTGCTTTGATTTTTTTTTCTCGTGCTACATATTTTTTTTATTTATTTCTATATGAACTATAAACAAATATTGTTTTATTTTGCTGATTTTAGACTGTTTGATTTTTACTTCAGGTTACACTAATAAATCGAGTTTAGGTTCATTGAATTGTGACTTTTAAAAAAAATACAAGGTATTATTGATCCTAAACTTTAAGTAGCTTTCAAATTATTTTATTTTGTAGATATTGTTAATTTCTTTATGTTAAATATATGCATGAAAAGTGGTTCGCATGTGGAAAGTAAAGAATTTAAATAAATGAAGTGAAAGGATTTATATACTGAAGAAGAAAAACAAAAGAAGCAAAAAGGTAATTCTTAAAAAATGAAAAAAAAAGTAATTATATATAGGGTTCTATATATTATAATCGTTTGATTAATTTGAGTTCTCTGTTTTTGAATTATCTTTTTAACCATGCAAAATGGTTTTTCAGAAACCAAAGTTTGGCGTGTTTGTTTACCAATCTAACCGACTACTATGACAACTGTATTAAAGATGGCAGGTGACTATTATTTTTTATTTTTTTTAGTTGTATTATTTTCGAGTATCTTTTTATCATCAATAAGAGGACAAGTACGAAGGTGTACATTTAAATATTATGAAGATTCTATTGTTATTCAATTTAAGAATTTTCAAAACTCTATCAAAGTTTGATGTTATTTGTTTATCTATACTATTAATTGGGAATCACTAGATTTTAAACAACCTTATGAAGGGTAAAGTATTACATAAGATGCCATTAGTTTTTAGTGTTTTTAAAAAAATTCATTAAGGATATAATAGTAATCATAAAATTAATATATTTAAATAAAAAACAGTAAAATTCTTTTAATTAATTATTAGTTTCCAAAAAATTAAACCCACTTTCTCCTTCTTATTAATTATGGACGAAATTTTGACATTAATTTCTAAAAATTGTTATTGAAAAAATAAGATTTGATATCCACTAAGATTTTCTCTAAACCAATCCTAATAGACTATTGTATATCAAAAATAAAAATAATATCATTTTAATTCAAAATTAAAAACACTATCGTTTGAAAAGATTTATCAATGGAGTATTTTAAGATTGAACTTGAAATTTTGTAAAACAATTAAATATAAATATTTTAAGATGATCAGTTTTGTTATAATATTCTTACAATTTTAAAATATAAAACGAAATTTTATTTCACAATTTCTAAAAAACCATATTAGATATTAACAAATATTTATATTTACTACGAAATAAACTCAAATAATAATAAATTTAGAGAAATTATCATTATAGCCTTCGTTTCGAAAATATCTAAACAATAGATTGTACATATTAATTTTGAAATATTTTGTGTTTTATTTTGTCTTTTTCAACTGGATCTTCCTTAAATAAATCCCTAATATATTGCACACAGTTTTCGAAATTATGTAAAACTAATTCTATATTTTGCATTCAACACAAATTATGCAGCAATAGCAGCTCCCTTTTATATAGATGTATCTCAAATTTTATTTTTAGTCCAAAAATCAAATTAATTATGATTAAACAATGAAAAGAAGAATATGCAAAATTTAGCTATGGAAAAAAACATCAATAAATTTGTTAAAATATTTGTAACTTTAACCGCATACATATTAATCTACAAAACTCACTTAAATTTTAGAAAATTTTGATTAGTTTAGAAAATAAAAACGTAACATTACTTAAATTTTGCAACTAAATAATATCTTAATTTTATCTAAAATATAATTTTGCACGTACGTGTAGGTCCGAATCTTAAAATATAACTATGCACTAACGCAACTGAATTTCGTTCATTACTCTAACTTTATAATATCTATATTATAACGAAGTTCACTAACATAACAAAATATTTTATCTTACAATCTATATAATAATTTCTAAGAAAAATATATCTGCACGTACGTGTGGGTTTAGACCTAATACACTAAAATATATATCATAAAAACAACAAAATAATCTATATTGAATGAAAAATTGTAAAAAATATTTTTAAAATATGAAACCCCGCACGTATGTGCGGGTCATGAACTAGTGTATTTGTAAATAGTAATCTAAAATCTTCATAAATTTGTAGTAATTAGAGACCATGATTTTATACATTTGAAGTTCTAAAAGCTTTAAAAATTTCATAGCTTAAATCGAAACCACTAGCTTCTATACTACATAAAAGTCGAAGTTATAATCTTCTGAAACTGTTATTTAAAATAAATTATTTATAAAATTGAAATAATTGCAATTTATTGGGAAATTGTTAATAATGCCACTTTTTCAATGTCACTTTTCAAAAATACCCCTTTTTTAAAATCTTATAAAAAATGCTCTTAAAAATATAAGATTTACCCAAATATGTATATAATATTATTAAAACATACACAAACTACATTTCTATGTATCTAAAATCTTATAAATACTTTATAAATACCTTATAAATGCATTTTAAATACCTTTAAAAACCTTTAAAATATCTTGTAAAACCTTTAAAAAACCTTAAAAATCCTTTAAAATAACTTGTAAAACCTTTAAAAACACCTTATAAAACCTTATAAATACTTGAATCGAGTCTTCAAGTAGTAGTTACAATCCATAAGTACCTTATAAACCTAATAAAACTTTATAAAAATTTCAGATTTAAAAAAGGGCATTTTTGAAAATGGACATCTAAAAGGGGCATTTTTGAAAAGGGACATGAGAAAAAGGGTATTTTTGCTAATCCCCCTAAATTGAAGTAAGGAAAATAGAAATTTTATAATTGGGATAAATAAATGAAAATTTTGAATAGAATAATCAATCAAGAGTTATGTGAAAAAAAAAAGTTATACAATATATACTAGGAAAAAGGGGATTTTCATACCCGTACTATCTGCACCGTGGATTTTCATACCTGGACAATTTTGTAGGGTATTTTACAACCTAAACTTCAATAAAATTTGAATCTCATACCTATACTTGATACAACGTGCAAAAATTGGAGTTAATGTAACGGGTGTTAGTCAACTCCGTTACGGTGCTGAGTCATCGTACACGTGTACGCTGACGTGTATCAAAACGACGTCGTTTTCTTACCCGTACTGTCTGCGCCATGGATTTTCATACCTGGACAATTTTGTAGGGTATTTTACAACCTAAACTTCAATAAAATTTGAATCTCATACCCTATACTTGATACAACGTGCAAAAATCGGAGTCAATCTAACGGGTGTTAGTCAACTCCGTTACGGTGCGTATCGAAACGACGTCGTTTTGATATGTGTTCTCAAAGTTTTAAATTTTTTTGCAAAATTGGGGACTCGAACCTGCGAGCCGTAGTCACATGAGAAGCACTGAATACCAACTGATCCCACAACGTTCATCGAGTATTCCTCAATCTTTTTTAATTATAAACCCAAAGTGTTGTGTGTTTGGAAATAATTAAAACGACGTCGTTTTGAATTGGGAGAAAATTGTATGTCATAGTAAATTACATAATTTAAACATAACCAAGCAACTAATATTTTGATTTTCAGAAATGGAGTGACTTGGCCCATCAAGTTCGATCAGTCTTGAAGAACTACCCCAAGCTCATGCTTACCCAAGGAAGAAAAGTAAAATTCTTATAGAAAAAATAATAATACCTCAACTAAAATTGTCCAGGTATGAAAATCCACGGCACAGACAGTACGGGTATGAAAACGACGTCGTTTTGATACACGTCAGCGTATACGTGTACGATGACTCAGCACCGTAACGGAGTTGACTAACACCCGTTAGATTGACTCCGATTTTTGCACGTTGTATCAAGTATAGGTATGAGATTCAAATTTTATTGAAGTTTAGGTTGTAAAATACCCTACAAAATTGTCCAGGTATGAAAATCCACGGTGCAGATAATACGGGTATGAAAATCCCCTTTTCCCATATATACTACATGTAATATGTGTAAGTTTATTCATTTGTTTCTTTTCATTTAAATGTTGATGGGTAATTTTTATTGTTTCATGTTTGATGTTCAGATATTAGATCATTTTAATTACTAAAATTTTGAAGTTTTTTTTTATATACTTGAGTAAAATATGACACATAATAATTGTAATATGTTTTACACCAACTTTTATCGTTTAAGCTTTTCTTTTATTAAAACAAATTTAACCAACATAAATTATACTAAAAGTATAAATAAAACAACATTTATGTTAAAAAGAATTTTAAAAATGAAACATTATTGTAATTAATTGATTACTAAGCCCAAAAATATATTAAGCCCAAAAATATATAAAAACAATCAATAAAATAAATACCAGTATCAATACAAAAGAATATTCTTCTAATTATTATCTAAATCTGATAAATATATTTTCCTTTTTGATAAATCTAAGATATTGGATAACAGATTGATCTTTCTTTTCCTTAAAAACCTCCTTTGACTAAACCCTTCTCCAAGTCGTCGTCAAGTCTTCTCCAATGAGCAATCGGAACGGAAGAGTGGCAGTCACACCGTTTCAGGAAGCCATGGAATCTCCGGCCCAACGGATTTGGTGGGAGCATCTCAGAACTTACGACCGTTCGTTTCCCTTGAGAGATTATTCACCTGAAACCAGAGCTTCTTTATTTTCCTCTGATTTGCAAACCCTAGAACAAGAGTTTGGAAGATTTGATGTCTCCGAAGAAAATAATTGTGTTAATGGGTATGATGCTCGTAGGTCATATAACTATGATTTTCATGAACGTAGTCGTAGTGCTAGTGTCATGGGTTCTTCATATCCTCCCTTCAACGGAAATTTAGTAGACGTTCCTTTTTTTCCAAGTAATCCTTTCTTTGACCAAAGCCCTTGGAGTGATGCATATGGTTATATGTCTGGAACCCGCAATACTCTATTATCGCGTGCTAAAGACCGTATAGAGTCTCACCTGTTGCAAGATGTGATTGCCAAGGGTTCAAAGGAGACAATTGATAAGATATTTGACAATTTGATCTCACATATTTGTGAATTGATGCTTGATCCTTATGGCCATCGCGTCTTTCAAAAGCTTATGGAGAAATGCACCGATGAACAGATCACTCGGGTTTTGGATATAGTCCTTCAGCAACCTCTTCAATTTGTTAGGCTTTGTCTCCATTCACACGGGTACGCATTATTCTTATGTCCATTTCATTTAGGCTCACTATTACCATTTATGTGACTTATATTTTGTCTCTTATGTTGGAGATAACAGAACCCGTGCAATACAAGATTTGATGCGAAGTCTTTGTTCTGTAGAGCAAATAGCTCGGTTCATGGCAACACTATGCCATGTTGCACTTCTATTGACCAAAGACGCTAATGCTAATCTTGTGATTTTGTTCTGCTTCAATCACTTTTCTCCTTCACATAGCAGAGTAAGCATCTTTACTTCTTTGTTCCTCAAACATGATTTTATAGCTAATAGTGATTTTCACCGAATTTCTAATAACCAAGATTGTGAATACTTAAATTGTTACATAGCTTTCAAAACTTAATTTTGTTGTGTGTGGATATTTGAATAGACTACCGGTGGTGAGTAAAAGTGTAACAAAGGCTTTCGAGCTCTCTTGCTTGTGTTACAAGAAAATGAGTAGTGGTAGACCGTAAATTTTATTTTGTAAACCGGTTTGAACTTGTTTATGCTTTTTTACTGATCATTTTTCATGTGTGGTCTCTTCTATTTTTGACAGTATCTTCTTGAAGTGATTGTTCAAAATTGTTATCAAGTTGCAATTGATCAACATGGATATTGTATGCTTAACCAATGCATTAGACAATCCTCTCGAGAGCTAAGAGACCCTTTGATTAAGGAGATAATCAGTAATGTTGTGAGATTATGCAAGAATTGCTACGGGTAAGATATATAAGATGCTTTTATGATTTGTGCGTTAATCATTGTATAGATCACATTTGTACTCTTACATCAAAATCAAATGTTCTATTGGTCAGAAACTACGTGGTGCAATATTTGTTGGATTTGGAAGATTGTGAGGTTACAAGTGCTCTCTCGAAACATCTTGATGGAAATTACGTAACACTCTCTTATGACAAGTATGGGAGTCATGTGGTGCAGAAGTGTTTGGAAAATAGAGAATTTTGCTCCAAGAGGATCATAGCCGAGTTGCTAAGTGACATTGATTCACTTCTTGTAGATCCGTTTGGAAATTATGTGATTCAGACAGCGTGGATTGTATCCGAGGTAAGAGGTTAATATGATGAATTGGAGTCGTTTTATGTTGATTTTTATCAACTTATCTTGTTTTTGGTGGTTTGTAGGATCATGTGCGAAATGTATTGTTGTACCATATAAACAGAAATGTTTCATTCATGAGGTGCAACATATATGGGAGAAAATTACTCCAGAAACTTAATCTTTGGACATAGAAGAACATCTGCAAAGAGAAGAGGAGTGAACAATTGATAAATGGTGTTGGTGTTGGTTGGTGTTGTTTTTGTTTTTGTGTGAGTGTTTTTTTTAGTTAATTAGAAAATAGGCAGGCATTTTTTTTCTTAGATTCATCTTTCACTAGGTGAGAGCGCGGGATTTCTGTGTGTTTTTGTTCTTCATGATTTGTTTCAAATTGTTTTATTGAAATGCTATTAACAAATACGTAGTACCTTGTTAGAGGATATGCGTTTACTCTTCCTTTAGGCTTTCATTCTTTCAATGTTATTCCCGATTTTGTTCGTTCTATTTGGTTAGAGGATATGAGTGGGTCTTCACGACCACGGAACGTTCGTTTGTAAGTTTACGTTTATTTTAATAAATTGGCAGGAGACTAGGTCTCCTGTTGCTTACCAAAAAAAAATAGTACCTTGTTAGATTCTTAACAGAAAATTGTTTTCAGGAAACTTTACTTTCGGTTAACTTTTAACCCCCAAAAAAACACAACATGGCAAATGAGATTGGAGTACCCGCTCCGAAATCCATCTCCGTGGTTTTTTTTAAAATGAAAATTAAGCATTCATAATCGGGATGTTGCATCAACAAGATTAACATAATTAAAGTAATGTTCAATAGTCTTAGTTAGAAACTCATGATTTGACAACCCAGTTTCTTGAATTCTCCTTAGGCCATCTGCAGTGGCACAACTGCTGGGGTGATCTTGAGTAATAAAAAAATAGAAAAAACTCCAACAGTAGAGCATTTGAGCAAGATCTCATCTTGAGCTGGATCTGATCTTGAGCTGATCTTGAGCATTTCTCTCTGTCTCTCTCTTACCTCCTCATATAATATCATTATATATATATATAATATTATTATAATAACTTTAAGATCAGTTGCTCCATTGTAGATGGCCTTACATCCGTCAGCTTTGCAGAATTTTTTAGGCCGTTGATTTGATTTTTTTTTTGTTTTAACTTTTTTGTTGTTGCAAATCTGTATATATAATTGTTGTTATAAGTTAAATGATTTGAAAATATCTTGTATCTATATTCTAGGATAAGATACACTGCATGTCAATATCCTATTCTCTGTTAATATATATTTTTATTTTCAAAGTTATACTATTATTATCATATGACATGTATGATTATCGTATTTTTTTGTCTACGAGAATAACGAGATTATGTTTGTAGACGTATTTGTTTGGTATAACATTCATAATCCGAACTCATGTTTTTAAAAGAAAAATAAATTATTGAAATATGTATGTATTTACCTTAAACTTCTTTTATTTTGATATAGAGTGAGGTCCTACATGAAATTTACTTGCTTAAAACTAGAATTTTTTAAAAAAATATGAAAAACTTTTCAAGTCACCATTTTTTGCAACTTTATCCTATATCTCCAAAAATGCAAAGTTATCCTATGAATTCAAAAATAATACACAATAACATAGATTCCTACATAGATTTTTATCCTATACTGTATTTAAATTTCAATTGACTCGTTTCATATATAGATTCTTTTTTTGAAGAGATATTATAATTAAATTATAAGTTTATTTTTTTCTCGAAAGAAAAATCCGGTAGCCTTGTTAGGACCGGGTGGAGCTTCAACAATACAAGCTCAAACTTTTTACGGACTAGGTCGGACTCAAATATATGCTGGTTTTGCGGGCTATGGGCCAGTCCGGGCTAACCCGATTGACATGCCGAAAAAAAAAGAAAAGTTATTTGGTTTGAAGTTATTTGAGAGGAAAAAATAGTTATGATAGCTCAACTTTTGTGAGCAATCGAATCGAATCAAAGAAAATATAGAATTATCGACTGCAAAAAAAATAATCAATAAGTAAATAAATGTTGCTTTGCCTATATTTTTTTCCAAATTGTTTTCAGAAAGATATCAAATTAGTTTTAAAAATTTTTAATAGTTTACCAAAAATTTTAAAAGTCAAAGGATATAATAGGATTTTAATTATATCAAAACATATATGACCAATAAAATTAATGCATAGATAGAAAATAGATTAATTATTTGTTCTTTATTTTTCAAATTTCCCAAATATGCAAAATTTAAGTTGAATATCAAAATGAAATCAAATAATCAATCAAATATTCCGGTTCAATGCAGTCAACTTGATTTGAAAAAAATTCTGATATTTCCTTTTTTTTCGTTTTTTGCAATTCGTCCCCAAAATTTTTAAAAACCCGCCTCTTCACTTTTGGGCTCCCACACTCTCTAGAATCTTCCTCTCTCCATATCTCTCGAATCACGGAAACTCCTCCGATCTTCGCAATCACTCATCGAATGGCGCGTGACAACCAGCTTCCATGCGACGGCGACGGTGTGAAAACTCTGGCGGATGAATCTCTCACTGGCCGCACGTGCGCCACCCCTTCGCACGTGACCTGCGTTTCGTCTCTTCCTCTTGATCGCTCCGGCGATGTTGATCCTCTTCCTGTTTCCGGCGTCGAATCTGCTGGTGCCGATGAGTCTATGAGTGACGGAGATGAGACTAAAAAGAGGAAACGGTTACTCAGTGGTGAAGCCGATGAGGAAAAGAGTGACGGAGAAATCGTGATTCTCGATGAGGGTGTTGATGTGTTCGCTGCGATTTGTGAAGACTTGAATTGTTCTTTGTGTAATCAATTGCCTGATAGACCCGTTACGGTTCGTTCTCTCTCTCTCGCCTCTGTGTTTTGCCTCTTATGATTGTTAAAGTTAGGGTCTTTTTTGTGATTGTGTTGTAAATTTGGACAAAACTTAAGAGTAATCTTAGAGAGAAATGGTTAGTCAATCAATAATAATGGCGACTACCCTTTTAGCGGCTCTCTAGGGGAAAATGCGAGTCTCGATGTTGATGTGTTAGTGAAAACATGAATTGTTTTTGCTAGGTTCGTGTGTTGTCTTGGTTTCTTTCACCAGTTTTCATATCTTTTTGTGAAACTGTTAAATCTCGAATCTATTTTAGTATTTCTCCTTATTTGTCGAATCTTATTACAAAGGCATAGACTTTATTTACACTTGAGTTGCTAATTTGGGCAATTTAGCAGTTGAATCTATCTTTTTGCTCTTGTTATATTGCGAAGGCATAGACTTTATTGTGCAAGTGCTTACATTTTGTGATAAACTTTGTCAATAAGTCAATTTTTTCACCTACATTTATAGATAACAGACTTTGCCAAGTTAGTTATGTACAAGAATGAGTTGCCATTATGTAGTTAATACTTGTTTATTTATCCTGGTAACAAATCTATTGTATTGTTGAAATTTGTTGATAGTAGTATGTGTGCACTTTTCTTGAAGTTTGAATTATTCTATTTTGGTGTTTCTTTGTTATCAATGTTTGACGAGTTGGTGTTCTTGTCAAAGATAAACATTATTGTATATGATTGTTTTTTTTTTTTTTTTTGAAGTATTAACTTCTTCTTTTCAGAATAAGTATTTTTGACAAAGATGAAGACTATTAAGTAAGGCCGATGGATAATCTTGTATGTGTTTTTTTTTTCAGACACCATGCGGACATAACTTCTGCTTAAAATGTTTTGAGAAGTGGATTGATCGAGGGAATGAAACGTGTGCAAAATGTCGTAGCCAAATTCCCGATATAATGGCAGGCAATCCTCGTGTTAACTCGTCCCTCGTGCCTGTTATCCGTCATTTAAAAGTTGCTAAAGGTGCTGGTGCTGGAACTGCAAATTTTTTTTCTTTTACAAGCAACCAAGATGGTCCAGAGAATGCATTTAGAACCAAGCGCGCAAAAACTGGGAGGGCGAATGCTGCATGTGGAAGGATATTTGTTAATGTACCATTTGATCACTTTGGTCCTATACCAGCTGAAAATGATCCTGTCAGGAACCAAGGTGTTTTAGTTGGAGAATCCTGGAAGGATCGAGTAGAGTGTCGGCAGTGGGGGGCTCACTTCGCACATGTTTCTTGCATTGCTGGACAAGCAGACTACGGAGCTCAATCTGTAGCAATCTCTGGAGGTTATAAGGATGACGTGGATCATGGAGAATGGTTTCTATTCACAGGAAGGTTTGCTTTTTATTACCCCCTAGCTTTTCGTCCATTTGATCTTGTATAATTTACTTCTCTCATGTGTTTATAAGTAGCTATTGTCCAATTTGCTGTCAGACTTTTGTCTCTTTACGTCTTGAATATTTGCGGATGTGTCACACAGGGGAAGGAGAAATTTCACTAACGAGGATCAGGAGTTTGAAGAATTGAATGAAGCTCTAAGAGTTAGTTGCGAAATGGGGTATCCAGTTCGAGTTGTCAGGTTAGCTTTTATTCGAGCAGAACAGAACTCCGTTGCTCTGAAAATTGCTTCCTTGATTGAATAAAGAATAGAGTTATGCTAAGCTTGCTGCAGTTATCCTCCGAGTTACCGGGGTGTTCCTTAGATACACCTCATAATTTCAGTTACCTTAAACTAGGTCTTACAAGGAGAAGCATTCTGCATATGCCCCTGAGCAAGGAGTGAGATATGATGGTGTCTACAGGATTGAGAAATGCTGGCGAAAAGCTAGATTCCAGGTACACATATAGTGAAACAACCGTAGTTTTTTCCCTGTTCTTTTTATGCATTGACCTGTTCCTCTCATTTCCATAGGATTCCTGTAAGGTCTGTCGTTACCTTTTTGTGAGATGTGACAATGAGCCAGCTCCATGGAACAGGTTTGATCTACTTCTTGAAAGCGCCTTTTCGATATAGTTCTATTTTGAGTCTAATACTGTGATAATATTGCAGTGATGAGAATGGAGATCGTCCAAGACCTTTGCCTGATATCCCAGAGCTTGAAACGGCCACAGACCTGTTTGAGAGAAAGGAAAGTCCATCATGGGATTTTGATGTAAGTTCCAATTATAACAGTTAGCGAGTTAGCAGATATCGAATTTTCTTCGGTATGTTCATTATCGGTAAACCCTCCCCTTTATTGTGCTGATAATATACGTTTATGTGATCAGGAAGGTGAGGGCTGTTGGAGATGGATGAAGCCTCCACCTGCTAATCATGAGCAGAGGAAGAGAATGAGGATCGCTATGACATGTCTTCTCCTTTTTGTCATGATCATTTTCGTTGGTTCATCATCTATCTTATACCGGGTTTAGAAGAATCACCGGCAAATAACTTGGTCTTTTGGTTTGATGATCCCTTAGTTATCTTCTTGTACCAAAACAGTCTTCTCTAGTTCTCTTCTCACTACTCAAGTCTTGGAAACTTGAGGTTCTATGGACTCATATTTTTGTATGCTTTCAACTTTAAGTGGATAGATTGGATAGCTTAAAGTTTTGACTAATAGTCAAAATGTTGCACTTTGAAAGTCAATGGTGTGATTTCACCGTCATCGAAACTCGCGATTTCTCTGTCACTCTTTTTCTCTTCAATATCCCCACTAAGTAACCGTTTCCTCTTTTTAGTCTCATCCGCATCAGTCATAGATTCATCGGCACCAGCAGATTCGTGTCCCACGATACCGGAAACAGGAAGAGGATCAACACCGCCGGAGCGATCAACACCGCCGGAGCGATCAGACGCATGGCAGGTCACGTGCGAAGGGGTATCGCATGTGCAGCAATTGAGAGATTCCTCCACCGCGTAAACAACGTCGCCGTCGCATGAAAGCTGGTTATCACGCGCCATTTCGATGAGAAAGGAGTTTCCGTGATTCGAGAGATATGGAGAGAAGAAGATTCTAGAGAGTGTGGATTTTATGAGAGGGAGCCGAAAATTGAAGAGAGTTATCATTTTTTTTGTATGTATATAAATATATACACTTACGTAAATAAAGATGTGGGAGAGAAATTTTTTCTAAATTACATAGATTCTCATACAGATATAATAAGGGAAAATTCCCAAAAAAACCCCAAACTAATTTTTATTTGGACGTTTAATGCCCAATTATTTTGGATTGGAATAAAAATACCTCATCTAATTATTTGTAGTTAAAAAATACCTCATATATAAATTATTGGTAGAATCGAACACGCAACTTAACGACTGTTAACGGACGTAACGGAATTATTTAACGGTGTTAAATTTTAATCTCATATATTTTAATCGATATATACAATCTGTTTTACATGACTTGCGATTAAGTTGTTGTGGCTTGTTGGTAACATGTGACTTCATTTAGTATACAGGCTCGGGTTCGAGACTACTGAATGAAATTTTAGTTATTTTTTTGGGTTTTTTTTTAATTTCTCTAAAACCCTAGACGTCGACTAGTGGCGGAAATTTGTGGCGGGGGAGTCTGTGGCGGAGGTTTGCGGCGGGGGATTCTGTGGCGGAGGTTTACGGCGGGGGAGTCTGTGGCGGAGGTTTACAGTGGGGGAGTCTGTGGCGGAGGTTTGCGGAAGACGTACCGGCGATTTATGACTCGATCTAGGAGCGGAAGAGTCTAAAAGCCTTGAGAATTGAGAGGCTCTTGTTCATAGGTTTGATGAAACTATCATCTCTGGGACTGTAGTCGACGGCGGGGATGGGGAGGAAAAAAAAAATCCGATAAAGGACTATATTTTACTGGTTGGCGGCTAGGGTTAAAAAAACAGAAAAAAAAAAAAAAATCCCAAAAATAACCAATCATGCGTAGAGTTGGTCTCGAACCCGAGCCTAGTAGCTAGCCGAAGTCACGCGTTACCAACAGGCCACAACGACATAATCAGAAGTCTTCTAAAACAGAAGGTATATATCGATTAAAATATATGAGATTAAAATTTTAACCCTGTTAAATAATTCCGTTACGTCCGTTAACAGTCGTTAAGTTGCGTGTCAATTCTACCAATAATTTATATATGAGGTATTTTTTAACCACAAATAATTAGATGGGGTATTTTTATTCCAATCCACAATAATTGGGCATTAAACGTCCAAATAAAAATTAGTTTGGGTTTATAAATAAAACAGTTTGATTTAAGACACAAAGAATTCATTGGATCAAATGGTTATGGGCTTCGTGAAAGAGTGTGAAGTCAAGGGTTTGAGACCTGAGTTTTGCAAAAATTTAAAAATCTTTTACAACAACATACAAAACGACGTCGTTGTTTAAAACGACACATCATCAACACGAACACGTCATCGAACACGTGTTAGCTGACTCAGCAACCCATTAATTTCGATTTCGAAATAAACACTAAATGTAAAGTTTGGGTATGTAATTCAAAATTGTTTTGAGGTTTGTATTGGAATTTACCATAAAAATTTGTTCAAATTGAAAAATATAGATTGTACGGGTATGAAAATACCCTTTTTCCAGTGGTTGATTGATAGATTTTATTTAATTTTTTTTTGTTAATTCAAATGTTCTAAATTATGACTGTTGCATTAGTGCATTGAACCAGAATTTTAGTTCGTTTTCAGTTATAGGATTTAAATTACATTTGAGATATCAACTAGTCATCTATACTATTTATTGGGAATCACTAAAACATAAACAACTTTATAAAGAGTAGAATATTACAAGTGCTATCATTATGATTTTTGCATTCAAAGAGTAATCAAAATATTTTGTGGAAGGGTAAAATGGCAAATTTGCTCTCAATTGATACGCAGATCCTGGATAACGGGTCGGATCTAAATCCATTGTCATTTGGTAAAACATGCGGATCTTTGTAACAAATGGACTTTAGAATCCGTTTAACCCGCGTATCTGATCCAAATGATCTTCGCGAATTTTAATCGATCAATGCTTCTAGAAAATTTTGAGATATATCCTGAAGATAATGCCAAAACCATATTTGTTAGTAATCATTAGAAGTTATTTCTATAACAAACAAATCAAATAAAATTTTAATTCTAAATCATTAAAAGTTATTCTTTTTACCATATCTAATAATAACTATATATTGAGATATGATCCGAATCGACCACGAAATACCTTAAATCATGGCAAACAACCTAACTAATCAATTATATACCTTAAATATTGGTAGAAACAATATTCGAAAAGATATTATTCTGATCTAATCTATTCTATTAATCGATAATGAGGGGCAGCAAAATGACAAGCCAATTTAGCCAATTTCAATTTAATCGGCTGGCTTAGTTCAAACAAAAACGGAAAAAAAATTTAAGGGTAAATTCGTAATTTTGGCCTGTCAATTGAGCCGATCCGAATTGTTTAAATTATCTGACCCGGTAAAAGCGTGCGGATCCTAAAATTAAACAATGGGTCGATTAATAACCCGATCCGGAAAAAGAAACGCGGATCCCTTTTAACCCTAGTATTTAATTACTTTCTCACGCCTCTCTTTCTCTCTCTCTCTCGCCTCTCTTTTTTTTTTCTTTTGTCCAGCAGAATGAAAGTATGAATCGATGCAATTTTTTTGTTCATCTTCTTTTTCTCCTTTGTTGTTTTTCTATTTTCTGAGGAGTTTTTGTTTCGTTCATGAGTTTCAGATTATAATCGCGGCGGAGGATTCGGAGAAGACCGGCGAAGACCTCCAGCTTTACCTGGAACTATGGCTTCGAAGTTGCTTCACCGTCGTCTTCACCTCTTTCAGTTACGCAAAAAGGTGAGTTCACTACATAATCAATACAAAAATGGTTTTGGTTGATGTTTGAATTAAAGTTTCATATTTTTTTTCGATTTTCTTATATCGAAAATGGATTAAAATCTCGGATACTCAAGCCACCGAAATCATCCGGCACGGTTGACGAAGACTTGCAAATCGGAATAGCAGAGGTTCTATCCCATCTAAAGGTGGGGAGAAGAAGAAAATGAACTTCTGTTATCCAGACCTTTTTTTTTTATCAACACTGCATTGTTAGATTCAACAAATAATGTTGTTTTGAATCAATTATCTGTTACTTTCATCTTTTTTTTTTCTTTCTAGAATCTCAAATATTCTATTCAAAACAGTTTAACTTTGTTTTTCAAAAGTTTTATGTGTTACTAACTGTATATTAAGCAATATGAAGTTAAATTATTCATATAGAGAATCAGTAACGATTATCAAACAATAGCAAAATTTAATGTATTGCTAATCTCTAATTTAGAAAACTCATTTTAATATAGATTGACAAATAAATGTTTTCTATAACAATTCTACTCATTCAAAAAGTTTAGCTGCATGGCGAATTTCATAAGAACTAAACAAAAGTATGCAATATTTATCATCTAACTAACCTTTAACATTGCTTCAAGCTTTCGAAGTAGCTCCAAAGACTACATCATTAGAAGACTCTCCATTGGTCCAATGTAAATCCGACATGATGCTTCGCCTGTATGCATGCAACATATTAAAGCCTCTAATTTACTCAATCATTTTAACATACTATGACAAATAATGTTTTTTATAATGTTTCCAGAATAACAGTAGCTAAATATACTTATCAAATAAGCAAAAGTGTTATCTTTATCATCTCACTAAGCTTTAACATTATTTCGAGGTTATAGAATAGCTACAAAGATGACATTGAATCTGCCTCCCCCATAAGAATTAAACATGGAAATGATCTTTGGCCTGTATACATTGAACTTTTTACCATCAGGACCACATATTTATAAATAGCTGTTATAAACTCATTATTGTATCAGAAAACTCTGGGAAAATCCTCTTTTTTTGGCAACAACATCACATTGAGAAAAAACTGAAATACATACAGAAACACAGTGGCAGAGCCATAATATCTATTCATCGGGGTCAAAACTAAATCAAGTACAAATCGTTAAATATTAGATTGAAATTAGTTAATGAAATTTTATGTTCAAAAATAATATGTAAGTGCATGATATCAACTAATCTGGAACAAAGAAGAAGAAACCAAAAAGTTGTTACTCTAACTAAAAAGAAATGTTAAAATATTAGGTTAGTTTATATTAATAGACCTAATTATAGTATATTTATTTCAAATAAATTTTATTGGGCTTAATACTATGTATAAATACAGTATAATTATCAGACTTTCATTTGTAATCTTGTAACTTAAAATTTTACATGGGTCAATTCTCTTATTGGGTTGGGGTCAATTAAACTTTTTTTTAATAAAAACTTGCTATTTTTGACATAATTGAATTAATATTTCATTTAACCAATTTTTATCAATATTGAATTTATTTTATTTTTGTTTGAACAGATTTTTCTAATAAGTATTGTTTTTTTTTTTTTTTTTTGAATTTTTTTTTTTGTATGGACTAAGATACCAAAATTTTATAACATTTTCAACGAGTATAAGATATCTCTAATAATACCTTTTATTTAACCTAGTACAACTTGAAATTCTATTAGATGACATATATAAATATATATACAAATTAATATTTCTATTAGCCATATTTTATTGGTATATGTTTATTTATTATTTTAATAATTTTCTACTAAGTATTTTAAATCTTATATATATAACAAAACAATATTCTACCTTGATTGTTGTACAAAAAATATGAACATTGATAGCACATTACGATAGCGCAAATTTTGTAACTGCTATTAAAGATGGTACTCGGAGTTTGATAACTAGATAATAGCATTTCAAAAACGTTATACCCAATAATAGCAAAAGGGGAAGCTAAATTCACTTTGTACCGCTAAAACTCAGCGAAAATTTCACACTTAGCACCCAACCAAAATTTTAAAAAAAAATCACATGACCAAATTTTTTTTGTCAACACACTCAAAATAAAACCTGATTTTTCTCATTCTTCTTTTCCTCCCATACCTTTTCTCGATTAATCTCCTCCGTCGTGATGTCTCTCCTCCTTTG